TTGGGCTGGGGCTGGGCGGCTCTGCCAAGGGGAGGATGTGGGGTGAAAGCCCCTTGTGCCCCCCCCCGCCTTGCCCGGGTGATGCCCTCCTGCCCCTGGGGTTTGCAGCAAACTGTGCTGCAGCTCCATCGTGGCCGGCACCGGCAGCTTGCCGAGGGGGACGTGGCACCCTCCAGCTGCAATGAGGACAGCGGATGAGAGCCAGCAACATCACTCCCCCTCTTTCTGTGGCTTTCTGTGTGTGCCAGGAGGGATGCCAAGGGGGTGCGTTGGCTTGAATCAGCCTTTTTTTACTTAAAAGTGGGGGGGCAGATATTTGGGAAGTGTGGACACGGGGCTGCCCGGAATGCCAGTGCTGTGAGGAGGGCAGAGGATGCGCCAGGGTTGGATGGGGCAGTGTGGGTGGCTGGATGGGATGGGTGTCATGATGCCATGGCAGTCTCCACCCTGGAGGTCTCAACTGTGGTGGTCTCAACCGTCGTGGTCTTGACCATGGTGGTCTCGACCATGCTGGTCACCATGGTCTCGACCACCAGAGTCAAGACCACCAGGGTGGAGACCACTGCACCATCATGGTGACCACCTTGGTGGTATCCACCATGGTGGTCTGAGCCACGGTAGTCTCAGCTGTGGAGATCTCCACTATGGTGGTCTCCAACTTGATGGGCTTGACTATGGTGGTCTCAACCATGGTGGTCTCAACCATGGTGGTCTTGATGCTATGTCAGTGTCCTCCCCAGGGAGGCCATGGGCGGCAGGGGCAAAGGTGCCTGGGCTGGGCAATGCTGTTGGGTGTCTCCAAGCTTGTGAATTTTGGCCCCGGTGGTGTTTGCAGCTGTAATGGGGTGACATGCAGCTTCGCTGTCCTGTTGGGCTGTAGGCACCAGTGCCAGGGGACCTTTGTCCCATGGGACACTCCCTGGGGTGACTTTGCCCCCGTGCCAGCAAACATGTGCCAACCATCCTGGGAGCATCCTGGGAGCTGCAGAGAGCGGCTGGGCAGGGGCATGGATTGGGCTGGGGTCTGCAGGCACAGCCAGGGCTGAGGATGCTTTACTTGGCATTCAACTCAGTGGTGGAGAGGGATGCGAAGGGGCTGCAGGGGTCCCCGCTGCGCTTGCTCTGAGCAAACATTTCTGGTGTCATCAGATGTGAAAACGACAGCCCCTTGAGAAGGGGACCATCCTTGTGGCCCCCTGCTGCCTTTGGCCCTCCATTTGCATTTTCCTGGCCGCATGCCTTGCTTTACTCCATGAAACCCTAGGGAAAGCATGACGTGTGGTCCCAAAAATACTACTCACAGGGTGCCCTGGCCTTTATTCTGGGTTGGCCACCCTCCTGGGGTCCCACTGAGGCCTGCCACAGGGAGCTGCTGCATCTCCTCGCCATGCTGTGACATGGCGATTCAGTCCCTCTCATCCCAGCAGGGCCACCATCCCGACAGCCCTGCAAAGGAGCTGGCACCCTGGACCCTGCACTGGAGCAAGTGCTGTGGGTCTCGTCCCAGGGACCCCGCTCCATCCCCATGGGCATGGGGTGATGGAGCTGAGCTGAGCTGGGCATCCCTGCCACCGCTCGCTGCTAGGGGTCCCACTGAAGGGGACATATCCCCTTGCACAAGACCTGCCCGTCCTGTCCCCAGGAGCACTGGGGCTTTGCTGCTGCCAGCAATGGCACTGGTGGGCTGGGTCTTGGGGGAAGGAGAGCTCTTGCTGCCCTGTCGAGATGGCAGAATTTCCCAAAGTAGGTCAGGTTAATTTTTTAACGCGTGCAGATTTGCTTGTTACCATGGATATTGCTCAATTATACACCAATAATCCCCCATGAGAACTTCATTGTCGCCACTTTCCTCCCCCCCTCACCCTCCCTTTTGATTTTAAATATTTCCAGGGAGGGGCAAGGATGTGAATGGGGAATGACCGCTATTGCCTCCCCATCCAGCAGTGCCCCAGGGGCTGTGGGACCCGAGGGGGTTTTGCAGTGGAGGCTCCCCCAGGCTGATGGTCCCCCCATGATTTTCCAAGAGGCCAGCTCCCATTTTGGCAGCAGAGACCATCCCCAGAGCTTGTGGGTGCTTTGGTGCTGCGGGACACCCACCTGCTGGGATATGAGAGAGAGGTGGGGTGCCACAGGGTCCCTCTCCCCATATTTGTAGAGCCGTTGGGGTATCTCCCCCTCCGTGCTTCTCCCCTGGTTTGCTGTGGGCTCCTATTGCTCAATTATACACCAATAATCCCCCATGAGAACTTCATTGTCGCCACTTTCCTCCCCCCCTCACCCTCCCTTTTGATTTTAAATATTTCCAGGGAGGGGCAAGGATGTGAATGGGGAATGACCGCTATTGCCTCCCCATCCAGCAGTGCCCCAGGGGCTGTGGGACCCGAGGGGGTTTTGCAGTGGAGGCTCCCCCAGGCTGATGGTCCCCCCATGATTTTCCAAGAGGCCAGTTCCCATTTTGGCAGCAGAGACCATCCCCAGAGCTTGTGGGTGCTTTGGTGCTGCGGGCCACCCCCCTGCTGGGATATGAGAGAGAGGTGGGGTGCCACAGGGTCCCTCTCCCCATATTTGTAGAGCCGTTGGGGTATCTCCCCCTCCGTGCTTCTCCCCTGGTTTGCTCTGTGGGCTCCTTACGCCTTCAGCAATGCAGGAAGCGAGCGTGGCAGGAGGCAAGAAAAATATTCTGCTGGAAGGGGTTTTTTTTCCTAATGCAAACTTTTTTTTTTTGGGTAGAAGTGGGTCACTTGAGGGGTGACAGAGTAAGAGCATCATCGCCTGGGTACTGCATCCCGTTGCCATGGTGACCCGAGGGCTGCATCAGTCAACAGCTTTAAAAATGTGACAGTTGAGTGAGGCTGAAGATTTTAATGAGGACAGACACTTGCTCGCTTGGTTTCGATAACTGAATACTCTATAAATACCCACCAGCTGAATGGTTCCGGGTCTCTGGAGCACGTTTGGGACATGTGGCCAGGGTGCTCCCCTTTCCCAGGCAGAGCCGTGTGCACCAGGGTGGGAGCATGGGCTGGGGCCGCCTCAGAAATAGCGGGGAGGGGGGATGCATGCAAACCAGATGGCTCTTTTTTTCCCCCCCTCCTGCTAACCCAACCCAGGGGACAAGGTGACACGGTTGCAATTAGAGAGCTCAGAGCCAGGACCAGGTTTGGGTTTCCGAGGTACGGCCCCAGCCGCGTGCCCTCCAGCGTTGGCTGATGCAGCTGTGGGGTGTGACGGGGCCACCCCTGGCCACCGCCACCTCCTTGGGCCTGCAATAAAGTAAACCCAGGGAGCAAACACAGCTTGCTAAAGAGGAGATTAACTCTAAGCACCAGGGTGGTGAGCAGGGCTGGGTGAGCTGTAAGCAAGCTCCCAAGCCTCAATAGCAAGCCTGGAGAAGTTGTGGGGCTCGGGAAAGCAAAGCCCGGTGCCGCTGAGGCAGGGGTGGGAGGCTTTGAAAGGCTCAGCAGTGCTGCTTGCATCCACTGGTGCTCTGAGCACCCTCATTTTGCCGACCACAATGGGTGTGTGCTGTGCGATGTCCCAATGCCGGCTCCCACAAAGGGCTAATGGTGCAGGAGGCAAATCTGCAGCTTCCACTTTTTTGACCCCATGCCAAAATCGGTCTGTCCTGTGCCTTGAGGAAGGAGCTGCCACCTCTGGCAGCCCAGCTGGACCCGCGTGGGAGTGGGATGTTTGCTGGGACAGTTGAGGGCACGCCAAGGACTCGTTGGTGTTGTGTTTAAAAGCAAACTGTAAATACAGTCCCTTCCACTCATTTTTGCTGCAGCTCCCACGCTGCCTTTCCTTGCAACACCACCACTGTGCCCAGCCGGGACCTGGTCGCAGTGCATGTGACCCAGGAGCCCGCAGGCACCCAAGGGCACACAATGCCCTTGGGGGATGCCAGGGCTTCACAGGCAGAGGGGCTGGTGCAGGGCACAGTGGCGTTGCCAGTGACGGGCGCTTCCCATTTGCTGCCCCCGGTACCACCCGTGCACAGTGTGAGTCCTGCCTGCTGCCAAAAATACGCTCCCAGCTGTCTTGTGACTGTAGCAGTGTCACCGCGCTGGCCGGGGGAGCTTCCAGACACAGCCCTCCATCACATGTAGCGACATGGAAAGTACTGACAAGCGTCACCAACGGAGGGATGGGCCATGGCACCACACCCTGGGCTTGGTCCAGCACCCCGAAATACCTGGGAGCCTTTCCATCACAGCCCACGAGTGCTGGACCTGACCCCCAAGGAATGGCAGGCACTGGCCCCAGGTCTGCCCTTCTCTCTTTTGGCTCTGGCAGTCCCCCCCGATAGGTGCTGGCGAGGGGCTGGTGGCATGGGGAGGGACGTCAGCGTGGGGCACGGGGACAGGGTATGACAACCCGCCGTGCAGGTGGCTGTGGCAGACAGCGGCTCTGCGGCACCCGCCACACACACTGCCTCGTCCCTGCCGGGGCACAGCCACAGGCATCCTCCACCCCTGGCGCTGCTGGTCCTGCTGTAACCAGAGCCACTGTTCTCCTTTTCAGGTGTCTCTTAAAAATGGTCAAGGAGAATATTGTAGGCCCTGAGGAGATCTTGAGCTTCTGTTGCAATGGCCTCCAGGTACCCCCGTGCTGTGCAACTAACCCTGGGGCTCCCCGTTGTGCCGGCGGCTACTAACCAAGGCTGTGCCAGGCAGATGCCACCCTGTGCCAGGAGCTGCTCCCAGCCCCACACCGGCTCCGGCTCTATCTGCTCCCCACGCATTCCCTATCAGCATCCTCAGCCTCTTGCTGGCCCTGGTCAGGGCTGTTTGCACAGGGTGCCGGCTTTTTCCTTAAAATTTAAAAATGGACGTCAAGTGCTGGGAAAATGGATGGTGGGAGCTCCGGCCAGGCTGGCTGCTCACTTTGCAGCAGGCAGTTTTGGAGCTCTTTGCATTGCTGGCTCATGCCCCAGAGCCTGCTGGCTTCCCAAAATAGCTCCCTGGTACTCATGTAGGCACCTCAGCACGCAGGGAAACAGGAAACAGCCCGGGAGGTTTGTAAAGGTGTTCGGAGCCCGCTGGAGGGGGTCTGGTGGCCGGGGGTCTGCCTTGCCATGGGACAGGAGGCCCTTTGCCATAGGCTCGGCTTGCTGTGTTAGCCGCCGTCTCTGCTAAGCCGAGGTTTATGCCATTCCTGGGATGTCGTGTACCAGTAGCTATGGAAACAGAGGTTAGACCCGCTAGAGAAAAATGCTATTCCAAGAGGCGGTGAGCCCGGGGTAGTCAGGAAAGCTACATTTTCAGCATAAACGCATCTTTAAAAGAAGCCGGGCAAACCAAAGGGCAAAGAAGCTGCTGCAGCAGAGCTCTTGCAAAAAGTGCTGTAAACGGGAGCCGCAGTGGGAGCAGAAAGCGGAAGGAAGGGCTGTAATGAAGCCCAGACGGTTCCTCGTGTCTCCTCAATTACTCACCGGGCTAACTGAGTTCACCCCTTGTGTAACACAGCTCACTTGACATCTAATCAGCTATTTTTTTGTCGGCATAGTCGCAATACCAGCTTCCCTCTTCCAACCCATCTCCCACCGGGGTGGCAGGCAGGAGAGGCTCTGTGCCCAGCAAACTGCGAAGCCCATAAGGACTGTATTTAACTGTACAAACAACCCCAGACTGAGGATGCTTTCCCCACTGCTGCTTGTACCAGCCAGGAAAAACTGCTTTCCTTTGGTGAAGGGTGTTGGTGGAAGGCATGGAGCATCGCTGCCTGCCCAGCAATAGGTGCAAGCCCTGGGAGCGCAAAACCACCCTTTGCTGCAGCACCCTAAAAATGAAACTGTCAGGAGAGCAAAATTCCTTCCCAGAAACTTTGGGAGGGGGTTTTGCTTGGTTTCCGGGAGGAAGTAGTGGGGTTGGGTGATAAATAGCCTGGAAACCTGCAGCGATCATCCACGGAGCTCTTTTTAGAGGGATTTGTTTTCCTTTGGGCTGCGGGCATCATGTCTTTGTCAAGGGCTGGGTGGGTTTTGGTGGTGCCCAGGGCTGTGAAGGGCTGGGGGTCCTGCTGGTTTTGCATGGGGAGGGGGGCTGCTTGAGTCACTGTTTTCTTAGAGGTTTGTCCTCCCATTTGAGTAAATGGAGTTCTCGTTCCCCGCAGGGCTCGACCTCTCTGCCGCGTGCCCAGGAGCCAGCAGAGCGGGAGGAGGTGTCGGGGGCCATGGCGAGCCCCTTGCCCGCTCGCAACCCCACCGAGGTGCAGATGAGCCAGCTGGGGCTGCCCTGCCACACCAACCACCGCGGCGAGCTCAGCACCGGCCAGCTGCTCAAGTGGATCGACACGGCCGCCTGCCTCTCCGGTAAGCCATCCTCTCCCACCGAAACCATCGTCCCGCCAAGCCGGGAGGGAAGGGTCCTGGCGGCGTCCCCAGGAGCCAGCTCATCAGCAGCGTTCCCGAGGGTCCAGCGCCCTGACGCCATCTGGGGACCCGCGTCATGCCATTTTGCTGACTAATTAGAGAGTGAATGGGAACAGGACGAGAGGGGGAGGAGATGTGCGCTGCAGCACACACGTTTACTCTGGGACAGATCAAAATTGGCATCTGCTTCATCCCAAATGCTGCCCTTTTCCTTGCCTGGTGCGCAGGGCATGGTGAGACCCGGCTGGTGATGTCCCCTGGCTCTGCCGGATGGGGCTGAGCTCCTCCGCCCAGCGAGGAGCTCACCCTGCGAAGTGCGCTGTGCGTCGCCAAGCACGGGGAAAGGAAAACGGGTGCAGTATTGCAGTTCGATGAGATTCCCAGTGCAATTTTGCAGTTTGAGGTTCCCGGAGTCCGAAGGGAAAGCCAGCGCGGCAAGACTGCTTTAAAATATTTGCTGCGTATAGGGAGATTATATTGGCTGCCTGTGCATCCCTGCAGTGGCTGAAAGCATCAAGGGAAGACAAACAGCAGGGCAACATGCCTCCTAGCTACTACACACCCTTAAAACATCTGCAAACCCACACTGCCATGGGGTGGAAAAATCCCAAACCCCACTCTCTCTCCTCTCTCTCCTGCGAACGTGCAGGAAAAGGGACATCAGCCAGTGTTTTACCGGTGTCATCAGCTCGGAGGCAGTGGCTGTGGGGTGGCGGAGCACGCGTGCCCCTCGCATGCTCCGCATGTTGCTGCAGGTAGCTGATGCAGTTTGTTTTTCCTTTTCAGCCGAGAGACATGCCGGCTGCCCGTGCGTCACAGCTTCCATGGATGATATCTATTTTGAGCATACCATTAGGTAAATACTCTGCTCTCCAGCAAGGCGTGTGTGGGGGAGGTGGACGGGTTTTTCTCGCCTGCTGGGTAAAATGTGGACAGCGGGGCCAGAGCTGGGACAGGGAGCAGCAGTGTATTTGGGAGGGGAGGAGATGTGGTGGCAGTGCCAGGCTTGCAGGGCAGCCAGGGATTGAGGCTCCGACTCCACCACAGGGCTGCGGACTGACTGTCTGCTATGATTTATCCACTGTCTGGTCACTCAGGGACCTCCTGCTGGGTTGGCTTCCCGGTATTTCCCCTGACCCCAGCTCCTCCCTGGCTTTGTTCAAGAGACAGCTCTCACTTAGTGCGCTGCAAATCTTGCAAATCGTGCCTCTGTAGCGGCCACGTGGGTGGCTGGTGTGCGGCGGAGCTCACCCACCCACCAGGTGCTGGGGGGAGTGGGACCTCCTTGAGCATCGCTTTGTGAGATGCACCAGGCTGAGCTTTGCCCAAACAAAATCCCCTCCCAAGCCCAAGCTTGTCCCGGCATCCCAAGCAGGGGTAACCACCCTGATGCACACAGCCCCTGGACTGTCACGCTGCAGGGGACAACTTAAGTATTCCCACCAGGCATAGGTCTTACATGCCCAAGGCGGTCTCGTCCCTTACCACCCCTGGTAAGCCCAGGTGCTGCCACCTGCCTTTACTCATCTCTCAGAGGCCCCATAACCCCCCCATGCAGGGGGATGCCCGTCTGCTCACCCCCTGGGTACCATCTCAGGGGGCTCCACAGGTGTTTTGGTGCAGGCTTTTGGTGCACCTACAAAGGTGCCTGCAGGACCCGAAGGCAGAGGTGCCTGCATGCTGGCAGAGGGGGTTTTGGCACCCCCATCCTCTGGGGACCTGCTGGCTGAAGGCTGGCCTGGACGAGCAAGCCATGCTGTATAGGATCCATGCTGCCTGGGAGCTCCCCACTGTGCATGTCTGCCCGCTGAGGACCAAGAGCACCTGGGGGTGCTCAGGGCTGGTGTTAGGGTCCCAGGCTGTCAGCTGATTTTTTTAGTGCCAGGAAGTCCGACTTGCTCTTGGGTTCACTGTCATCCATGCTGTTAAACTCCCACTTTCTCTGCCGCAGTGCTGGTGGGTCAGCAAGCCACTGGCAGAGGCTGGGGTGCCCGTCAGGTGGCACCGTCAGAGTCAATGCCTTGCACCCAGTGGGCTCAGTGGGTGTTGTGCTCAACACCGCGTGGCTTCGGCTCCTGGGGCAGCTTTGCTTGGGAAGCTTTTCCCTGTGGGTTTCGGAAGCGGCAGGACGGACATGAGCCCCACTCCAGAGCATTAAATCGAGCCCTGCAAGGCATTCACCCCTCCTTGGGGGTGAGCCAGGAACTGCTCCAAGGGGTCAGGGAATTTGTGCTGCTCCTGGCTCAGATCCTGCTTGCTGTGGTCCAGCTTAATGCTCTGAGCGAGGGTCTTGGGAGGGATTTCCCACAGAGCTTTGAAGGCAGAGGAACTTTGGGTGGCATTTGCCATCTGCTCTCCTTGCCTGGCTGTTTGTGCTTTCTGCCACCCTCCCACTGCGAGGGAGAGACCCCCTTGGGCAGGGAAGGGCTGTGGGTGCTGGGGGGGCACAGGGGAGACCCCAAAACATTACTGACTTAAAAACTCACCAGTTGGGATCAGATGCTCCCCATCCCTCAGCCCTAAGGTGTAGAAGTGCAGCCTCCCGGGAGAATTTCATGTGGATTCATGTGGTTTTTATGGCACTGGCTTGTGCCATTTGATAAAGAGACAGGATAAAGCATTTCTGGGGTTGTGATATCAACAGCCAGGGCTGCCAATGCGCCTGCCCAGACCCCTGCCCTTGCACGTCCCTCGCTGCAAACCTAGCCAGAGCGTCTGTGCTCCAGCCTCACCATGCCGCCGCTTTCCTTCATTGCTAACCCTCTCCCCCATCTTGCTTTTTCTTTTCGCACCAGCCAGCTGTATATAAACCCCCCTGGGCAGCGGGACGGGAAGAGTGGTGTCTGGTACGGACGTTTGCAGCCCTAGAGCAGCCGGCCTAATGCAGCGCTGCCGTGAGTTGGGAGCATTAACCCCACTGACGTGGCATGGCCTGGGAGGTGCACAGAGGCTGCTCACGTAACCCTGCTAACGTTTCGGCATGCCTTGGCGGGCGCAGTGCTGCCGCTGGGCCCGGGGTACGTGCCAGGGGACAGCTGGAGGCACCATCCCAGCTTTGTGCCACCCCTGCTCCAGCCAGAGACAACATGCAAAGTGTGTCGAGAAGCTGAGATGACTATGGTCATCTGAAGCCAGAAGTCATGTGTGGGGACAAGGGGGAAGTTACGGGGCTGAAGCACATGCTGACTCTTCCTCGCTTCTGGTTTTGAGACCTCTATGGTGCAAACCTGCGGTGGCCGTTTGGCTTTGGGGCGGCTGCTGCTGCCACCAGCCAAGGGCCTGTGGAGCAGCCCCATGGGTGCCCCTGTTGTGCAGAACAGTGCATGCAAGGCTGGAGGAGCCGTTTGCTCCGGCAGAAGCGTGCATGCCTGCATGGTGGGGGGGTGCCAAGCAAACCTGAGGCACCTCTGTGCTGCTTGGGTGTCCTGGCAGCACACCAGAGCTGGGGACGCATTTGCATGCAGATGCTCAGGGGTGACATCTCACTGCTGGGCTGGTCACCTGCAAGCTCCCATGTTTTGGAGGTGGCTGTCCCCGTGTCCTACTGGCCATCCCAGCATGTCCCCACTATCCCAGGCCGCCGCTACAGCAGCGGGTGGCGAGCCGTAATGCCATGGCACCTCGGTGGGGAGCCACTCAGCGCCGGCGCCTGCGCTGGATAACCACGGGCCATCATCCCCTGGTAACCCATGTGCACTTTCTTCTCTTTCTCTTTTTCAGCGTCGGGCAAGTTGTCAACATCAAAGCCAAAGTGAACCGAGCCTTTAACTCCAGCATGGAGGTTGGTGAGCCACCCCCTCGCTGTTGCCCCCCACCCCTGCCCCTATCCCCCTCACTGTGTGCCTGTCCCTGCCAGCCATGTGCACCCATTCACCACGGCCAAATGAGCAATACCCAAATCCTCCTGCGGTTCCCGGATTTGATCCTGTGTGTCGGTCCCCTCCTGCTGTGCTTGGTGGGGTGTGGGTGCCTGGGGAGCAGAGCCGGCTCTCAGGGGTGCTGCACCCTCTCCCAGGTGGGCATCCAGGTGAGCTACGAGGACCTGTGCAGCGGGAAGCACTGCAGCATCTGCAAGGCGTATGCCACCTTCGTGGCGCAGGGCTCCTCCGGCAGCAAGGTGAGCGGCGGCCAGTGGCTGTGGGGGCTCGGTGGGTCCCTGTGCAGAGGCAGTGAGGAAATGGCCTCTCTGGGGAGAGACGGGCTGGGCTGGGCCTGGCTTTCCATCACAGCGTGTGCTGTTGCTTCATGGCTGTCTGCACACATTTGGGTTGGTGATCCCCTATCCCGTGCGTGGGGTGCACGGTGGGGCGCTGAGGCTCTCAGCCCTGCTTGGAGCACGGAGAGCACCTGCCCACTGCTGCCGTCCCCTCATCTGTGCCCGGGGTCCCTGCTGGTGCTGCGCGATGGCTCGTTAGCATCGGTGCCCATCCCTACTGTATGACACCTCCTGGGGATCCCTATCCAGTTGCAGGAGCCATTTGCCCTCCGGCCCCTCTGTGAGCAGCTATAATATAGCCAGGAGGAGCATGGCTGGCTGCAACACAGGTGGTGGGACATACAGTGCTATAGGAGCATGTGCTGGCACCCAAGGGAGCCCTGCCTTCTCCTGCAGTGCAACTGCACCCTGCCCGTGTCCCCTTTGCAGGTGAAGCTGAAGCCACTGACCCCACAGACGGAGGAGGAGAAGATAGAGCACAGCATTGCTGCTGAGCGCCGCCGCATGCGGCTGGTCCACAAGGACACCCTCAAGGACCTCCTCACCCACAGCCCCCGTGAAACCGGTACCATGTCCTGCAGCCCAGGCTTCCAGCCCCAAAATAGCCCCAACACCCACTGCTGACATCCTTCTTCCTCGGCAGGATGCTGTGGGGGAAGAGTGGTGATGACCACAGAGGTTTGGGAATGCCCTGGCCATGGAGGGGTAGGGATCAGCCCCACCATCCCAGACCCCCAATCCAAGAAGTGTGGGGGGGATGATGCAGTGGGAGGACAGCTGTGAGGGCTGGTGGGGTGCCAGGAGCAGGGGTCCCACCAGCTGGCTGTCACACTGAACCCTGTTCTCCCCTTGTGGCAGAGCTGGAGACGCGGGACGGCAGTGTGGCAGTGCCGGCAGAGAAGACGCGGGTGGAGAGCGTGGAGCTGGTGCTGCCCCCACACGCCAACCATCAGGGCAACACCTTCGGTGGGCAGATCATGGCCTGGATGGAGAACGTGGCCACCATTGCAGCCAGGTGACCCGAAGGGGATTTAGGGCAGGGGGGTGGTGTGCCTGGAGGTGACACACAGCCAGGGCAGCATCTGGCCGGGTCGGGCCACAGCTGGGTTATAGGGGCCCTCCAAAGGGATGGTCCCCAGCACATCACCCTTGGGCAATGCCATACAGGTTGTACCATGGGTGCATGGTGCTGGAGGACCCCAGGAAAGGGTTCACGCTCACCACAGTACACTTACTGTCCCTTCTCATGGCTGGTTTGGGCAGCTGAAATCCAGGGGTGACATTTTTTGGGGTCTGGCTGGGCTATGCCTCCTCTGGGGAGGATGTGCAGGGCTGCTGGGGTGCCACAGTGGGGGTATAATGCCTGCCCCCCACAGCCGGCTGTGCCATGCCCACCCCACGCTGCGGGCCATTGAGATGTTCCACTTTCGAGGACCATCACAAGTCGGAGACCGCCTGGTGCTCAAAGCCATCGTCAACAATGCCTTCAAAAACAGGTGGGTGCCGGCGGCAAGGGGTCCCCATCCCACCCTCCTGGTGGCTCTCCACACCCTCACCCCTTCTTATCTCCCCCCCGCAGCATGGAAGTGGGGGTCTGCGCCGAGGCATATGGCCAGGAGATGTCCATCAGCCGAAGGCACATCAACAGCGCCTTCATGACCTTCGTGGTGCTGCCAGGGCACAGCTGGAGGCACCATCCCAGCTTTGTGCCACCCCTGCTCCAGCCAGAGACAACATGCAAAGTGTGTCGAGAAGCTGAGATGACTATGGTCATCTGAAGCCAGAAGTCATGCGTGGGGACAAGGGGGAAGTTACGGGGCTGAAGCACATGCTGACTCTTCCTCGCTTCTGGTTTTGAGACCTCTATGGTGCAAACCTGCGGTGGCCGTTATAGTGTTTATTTTTCCACTGAGTTTTCTACCATTGGTTTCTTTTGGGGAATGAGGAATATTACTGATTTAAAAATGCATTTGGTAAAAACTCTGTTTGCTGTCGGTGTTGCTGCATTTGCTCATTTGGTCAATACCAGTCTGGAGCAGGTTAGGCTGCAGAGCTGAAGCTGTCTACGTGTTTACTCTGAAGCCTACTGAAGGCCCAGAGCAAAGCTCCTGGACTCTGTGAGCAGCAGTTTGCTGCCAGCAGATGTTTCATGTGAGTTATGGTGCAAAATACACCTGGCCTGATCCTGCCTCCTGCCGTCTCCCAGTATCCCAAGGTGCCCGTTGCTGGGGGGAACCTGCCGATGGTGGCACCTGAGCCGGGGGTAAGGATGAGCAGGGCTGGCTTCTCCTCACCGCGGTGGCATGGGACTGCCGGGAATCCCACTCAGCCCTGAAAGGCTCTTGAATTCACAGCAAAACAAATGCAGTTTTATGATGATGGAAATGAAATTGCTCGATAGCAAGTGAATTAAATGGTATAACTAATAATAAAATAAACTACTTGCCCATGCAGAGATGGAGACCTATTAGCCATGCAAGGCTTAACGGAATATTGCCTGCAAGTTCAAGCTCATCTTTTCTATAATTTAGGGGAAAGAATGCAAACCTCTTCGGTTGTTTTTACCTTTCAAATCAGTCTAATCCACAATTTTCTTGGATTCACATATTTAAGAAAATCTGTCATGCGAGCATGGCAATGAAGCAAACACCTTCAGGCCTCAGGGTACATCATGGTGTGAGCGAGCGACGTGTTGCTTGCCCCTTGGCTGATCTGTGCCCACCTACCTGATTTTTTTGGTGCCTTAAAACTAGGACTCTTCTCCCACCCTGTGGGAGAGAATCTCATGGCCAGAGCCAGGCTCCCTGAAACCACTTCTCCGCCTGCTTCAAAGCACTGTGCTATTGCTTTCTTTGAAATAAGCTGCTTTTTGGGGGGTTTTATTTCCCAGGAGGGGACGTTTGCACGTGCTAGGGGATGCGATTCATGTTTCAGTGGCAGCAAGGGGTTTTTTCCCAATGCGCCAGTGCCCCTTGCTTGACCACGGTGCACAGTAGTGATGCTGAAATAGCTCACGGTTAATCACTGACCACCACTGCCAGCGTCACTGGGGTGACGGTCGGCAAGTGCAGGGGCTTTGCACTGCTGAACTTTTTGCCCACTCCCAAAAAGAGATCTGTTGTTGGTTCCCCCCCCACCTTTTCCCATTAATCTCATGTGCTTTTCCTGTTTATCAGGATGGAGAGAGGAGGTACAGAGAAGCCAGCGCTAGGAAAAAAATTCGGCTGGACCGGTAAGAAGAAAAAGCAAGTGGGATGTGGGGATGGAGGAGGGAGGAGAGAGGGGCTCAGCACTGGGGTACAGGGACAGTCTGTGGGTGGCTTGTGTCTCACCGTAAGGGAAATTGTCCCTTTCCTGCAGAAAATATGTCGTCTCCTGCAAACAGACCGAGGTGCCGCTCTCCGTGCCCTGGGACCAAAGCAACAAGGTAGGGTGCTGCCCTGTGGGAGTCGCTGCCTCCTGCCTCCCCTTCCTGCTCCTGACGTGTTGCCCCTGCCACAGGTTTATCTGAGCTACAACAACGTCTCTGCGCTGAAGACGCTCGTAGCCAAAGCGAACTGGGCACTGGCCAGAGAAAAGGAAGAGGTACTAAACCCTGCCCCTTACTCCCGAGCTGCCTCTCACCCCCAAAGCCTGGGCAACCTGGGGGCTCGGCGGTGGTGAACGCGTCCCAGCCCATGCCCTGTGCTTCCCGAGGTGCGGATGTACACGTTGGAGGAGGACAAGTTCCTGTCCTTCCGCATTGAGATGTCGGTCCACATTGCCGCTGGCCAAGCCTTCTCCCTGCTCTCTGACCTGCGGCGCCGGCACGAGTGGGACAGCCACTACGCGTGAGTGCTGCGGGGCTTCCCGGGGCCACCCAGTGCTTTCCAAAACCCACATCCTTATATTTAAGGCTCATTGCTTTGGGCTTTTCCTGCGAGTGAGCATTTCGCCTCGGAGCCATGATTGCTTCTAGAGACCTTTCACCATGCATCCCTGTCCCTGGAAGCACTGGCTCTGGCTGCGCTGGCGGCTGCACTTTGCTGCAGAAAACATCTGTTTTGGGGCCCCCAAAATATTTTGGGTACAGCAGTGGGCTATAAATGCCCCCCCAGGGGTCACAGCGGAGTTTCTCTGGGCAGTCCCTTCAGGGGACACGATCCCTTGCACAGCTGCCCTGCGGCCAGCCTCCATCTCTCCTGGTGC